GTTTGCAATCCTCTTGAAATTTCCAAAACCTAATCACTTGAACAAAATAAAAGAAAAAAAACTAATCGTGTTTATTTTCTCTTTTCAAACCAAAGCTAGATAACGAAAATTTAGCTTCAAAGAGCATCTCCAGATATGAAAGTGACAACTTCCACAACTTCCTAACTGCTAAACTTCTCGAAACGATATACTAAAATGCTTTTAAGCAAAAAAATCTTCGGCGGGGAAAACTATACCCCTTTCAAATCGTAAACTAAACCAAAGTCGCCCAACTTGCACATATTTTTAGAGACAAATATATTTTCAGGCTTGATGTCCAAGTGTAGCAAATCCTGTTCGTGAAGGTGATGAACTGCCTACCTCGTAAAAAAAGAGTTTACAGGCATTCCAACAAAGCGAAGACAAATTTTATAACGAAGCAAAAAAAAAAAATAAAAAAATAAAACTTACGGCAACCATATCAACAAAGTATCCCCAAAGTTCTTCCTCTGGGATATTATGAACGCGTAGAGCATAGTCGGCTAGGCTAAAACAAACAGCACCTTATTTATAATACCGCTAGGAGAAGAAAACACGTAGACTTCAATTATTTTAAAAAAACCTACAAAGAACGCTCGATAAATTAAAAAAAGAAGACTCAGTTACCTGTACTCACAAAGTTCAGTTTGAATGTAGAGCTGGCCTCTCTCCTCCCAAGCACATTTAAACTCAACTAAGTTTGGGTGCTTAGGTAAAAGCTCATGTTTCTGCACTTCGCGTAATTTCATTTCTCTATCCCTTGAGTTCCTGAATGGCTCTATCGTCCGTTTCACAGCATAATATGCGCCATCATTTTTAGATTTCACACGAAAAACCTTAAACTTTTATGTTCTTTGAGAGCAGTAAATAGGAAACCAGTTGCGATCAGAAAATAACTATTACTGCAGAAATCCCACCTCTCCAAATGATCCTTCGCCTATTTTTCTCTCCTTTTCAAAGCACTGTTCAAAGTATTCACGCGGGTCATTTTTATCATAAAAGGCGTTCTCGTCATCTAAGGAATAAAGGAAGCAATGGGATGTTTCATGGGGTAATCCGGAAACAAAGTAATGTGACCAAAAATTATTCGACTTACCAAAGGGATTCTTACCCTTCGTGGTGAACCTTATAAAACGAGGACCGCGAAGTTCGTAACGGTCAGAAAAGCGACTAATTGAGTGAGCACTTCGGATAAGCCGTGGCACACGTTTCTGTATCCCTTTAAGTTGCTGTAACAAAAAAAATGTTGTCTGAGAAATATTGAACGGACGGGATGAGATAGTTAAGCAATAAACCTTTTGTCTCTTAGTTGATAATGGTGGATCAATGTGTTCCGGAAAAAACGGATGCGGCAAAGGTGATGCAAACGCTTGTTCGCTCATCCCTAGACAATGGATTTCAGAAGCAAACAGAAAATATAACAAGCATTTCAAGAGATGAAGGAAAACAAACGCTTGAAGTAAGAGGATTTTCTGAAGGCAATACCTGGAAATCAAAAAACACCTGCAAGGCTTTAGAATCCTTGAGGAACTGGCGTTAAGGTAAGAGAATCAACCTTAATGCGCAATAATACTGAACGATAATACTTATGGAGAAGACAAGAATAAGTTTATAGTGTCAGCTTTTTCAAAACAATTTGTTTGGTAAAATTGACCTGGAAATAATTTCATTCAATATTTAAGCTGAGAAAAAGTGTCACACCATACGCAATGATTATTAAAAGTGAGGTGGCCACTAAATTTTTTTATTTTTTATTTTTATTTTTATTTTTTTTTTCGAAGTATTTATAAAATGAAAACTGAAGCCCAGAATTACAGTAACTATCCGCTTTATTGGATTTACTGAGCTGGAGCAGAGAACAATTGAAGTTGAAAGGAAAAAAATAAGACGATTAGAGTTATACCGGCAGAAAATGCCATGTGAGGTACTGATGCTAAAAACTAGGTCGCGAACTTGATTGGGTATTAAGCTCAAGACAACCTGTATCTAGCTCTCTTCTTGAAAAACTAGAAGTTTCTTGATTTACAAGCTAAGTTTGAGTTGGTCTGAGCTTTGAAAATCCAGTTTTCAAAAAAAGCTCAAGTACCATAGCAGTTGGTAACAAATCAGTACTAAACAAAAGAATAAAAATATACTACATATCAGTGAAACAAGACTTTAATTTCCAAAACCTTCTTTTCAATAAAACAACTGATTTAGAGACTAGTTATAAAATGTTAAACATAGTGAACGAACAATAACGGATGAAGACAAAAACAACATATGACCTGTTGAGGTAAAAAACATTTTAGAATTAACAGTTTGGGCAGTATGTGATGGGCGTCAAGTGGACTTTCCTAATTACGTTTGCTTTCAAATTTGGCCGTGTTGGTTCCTCTCCCAGAAATTCTACACTTCGATGTAGGTCCCAGGTCCACTCATAACCCTTGTAAAAACCTTTAACACTTTCACAGCAACCTGTTTGTTGGTGGTATTTGCTGAAAGGCAGTGATACAAACAGCCCGATTACCGTAAATCCCGTGCATACCACCATCAACACATCAAAAATGAGTCCTCACTACGGCAGCACAGCGATGCAACGTTATATTAGGTGGATGTGATAATTCACTTTTTTTTTTAGTTCCAAATTCGGATTTGAATTTAGCTGATAATTTGCGAGAACTTCCTAAAAACGATCCTTCTACGGTAGCTAAAAACTTTTAAAAGAAATAGAAACAAGGCTGAATATTTGTTAATTTAAGAATATGGGTGCTCGCTTTGATGCTTACGAATAAGGTAAAGCATTAATAAGAACAAACCCTTCAAAAAACTTTCAATTTCTTTTTCCGCATATTCAATGTTCGCTCTTCCTTTGATCATCATTATTTAGTACAGAGTCAGAATATGTATTCCTTAAGATCTTCTGTAGCCAATTTATTCAAAAGCCAGAGGCTTTGTTGTTTTGGTGCCTCACTAATTGGATCATTATTTCTATCATATAAAAGTGCTTGTAAAAGAAAAAAGAAAAAAGAGACAATACTTTTTTCTTAGTGCTTTTAAACTCTCGCCTTTGCTAGTCATATCTGCAGTTCACGATAAGCAGCGATTCCATGGAATTTCAAAGTATTGCCTTCTTAGCGGCAGTCGCTTAGAGTACTCAAAATTGAAGTTGTGTCGTGAAAAGTTTGTTTTTTGTTGCTTTTTTGCGAATCATGAGTGATTTGAAATTTTTAAATTTTAGTATTAGTCACTAACTGGAGTAAGTGTTTTTTGAACATTTTGCAATTACGCAATTTATGCGCTTTTCTCCTTCCACCTTTTTGTAATTGAAATGTTAATTGCAGTCGTGGACTCTATTTTTTTGAATATCTGTTTCCTTCGCCCGTGATATTTTTTATCTGCTCTTAGAACTGAATGAGGGAATTTGTTTGTTTGGTCTCAGTTTGGCTTCTGTAGTCATTTGGGAGCGACTGCTGTCGTAGTTCGTTTTCAGAAGGCCGCTCTTCATAGACTTTCCTAACTGAAGCGTAGTATTGAAATGGACAGGGAAGCCCACAGAGTAACACTTGTCAAACAGTCCAGTAGCTTTCGGGTCATTGGAGGGGAGTTTAATTGAAAGTGATTCATTTTTTTACTCCCAATACTTCGCATCTCATTGTTTTATAAGAAATCAAAAATCTTTAAATTTACTGAGGACGATAATTATAAAAAAAACTTGAAGAAAAGTAGCTGAAATTTTCAAGTCAAAAATTTGCTCACAAGCTCAAGCAGATTTATCAGTTGTGAGAGTAATTTACAAAAGGAAAGGGGAAAGATGATGTGCACTGCCAGAAATATTTGAGGAAAAAGAATGAGATAGAAAAGTTCAGAGGGGTTTGTAAAAAAATTTGAGGGAATTCTATGTGGGACCAGTTTCTTTTGAACGCCTTTTTTGGTTTTTGTAATGCTCCACTTGTCAAAGCTTCAGGAGAGATTGTTGGACAAAAACTCATGTGTCGTGCCTTGCTTATACGGTCCTCCGCATGCTTGATTAATTTATTTCAGTTTTGAGAAGTTTGACATACTATTAGTCTAACCTGCAAGTTTTATTGATACAACCTGTCGTGACATCTCTCAATGCTCATAAATACAACACGGTAATAAGCTAATATTTGCCAAGGACTTCCCTAAATAATACATTTTTGCAACTAGTAAAATAATGACACCGTTGAATAGTCTTTAACTGTCCAGAGTAATTTTCGAAAATGGCTTGGTGAGTCAGGAGGAATAGTGTGTGAAAAACGTAATTACTTTATAGCCGCTTCCACTACTTCTCCAGTACTTATTAAAGTTAATGAGACTTCAGTTGCTGTCGGAAAAAAGTTTTAAATGCGTAATTCCATGTCATGTTATTGGCGACGATTAGTTTTTTTGTAGGGTTAGGTTACAGGAATCGACTAATTGCTTTTAATAACGGCGGTCCAGTATCAGTGATTGTAACAGTTCGCAGATAAACACAGTTTTGCTTCTAAATTATTTTACCAGCAGTATTTAGAAAGAATCACTAGCTTGAACCATTCAAAGTCCTGCCAAAATTTTTCCCTTAGCTCCTCCTAGAACTTCAAATATTTTAGCATTTATAATGAGTAAGAAATTTAAGCCTACGTTTTTTTTTTGTTTTGCAACTCATTTTTCGTAAACCTTTGCTTTTTTTTCTAAATAAAAAAGTTTCCTCTAAACAGAGTTTTATGAAATTTTAATTGATTGATCCCGCAAGATAATAATTTAGCGCGGCGTTGGAGTGCGGCCCCATACGGTTTGTTTCTGCATCTTTTGTGAGGTCAACCTGCTGTTGGCATTGGAATTAGTGAAGTCTCACAAAGTTGAACTTTGGTGGGATATTGGGCATCGCCCATATAGTTAAAACCAATTGATGTCATTGATGTGAAATTGAAAATTATTCACCCCTTTTGTGCCTTGTTAGAACATTTTATTGGCCAATAAGTATTTCTTTTAAAACAAGGTTAGCTCTGAATGGGATTACGGTTTTTCAACCTATTTACTAACTGAAAACTTTGCATGGACAC